AGAAAGCGGGGGAGGGAAGTGGAGATTGAAGGGAAGTGGAGGATTCGTGACCACAGACAACACAGTGGGCCCTCGCTCTAAAATACAATACTTTATTCTATCAAATTATACCTCAGTCGGTTTTTACACTTCTGACCTCATTAATCAATATCTAACCTCAAGAGAAGAAGTTATATTCCAGAGGGGAAAAAACAAAAACTAAATAACCTAAATAATTAGCTACTTATAACAAGGATTAGAAGTCGCTCCAGTAGTTCAATCTAAGTTGAGTCAAGTGCCAACCAAGTTAGGGTAGTGCATTAGGGAGTGCTGCATTAGGTATTAGAAAGGTACATAATTCAAAGAGCGTTTTTAGACTTGAAGAGTGGGAGAGGGAAGCATACGTAGGACAGTAACCAAGTACGAGCTGTGTTGTATGATTTCGACTCTAACATAACAATTACTATGATTTATGGTGAAATCAAAACGAAACATGAGTGCACAACATGCACAAAATGTAGCCATATGAAGATCCAACTTTTAGGGAGATATTGACCGGTATCCCTATGCATAAAAGTAAGTTATAAATCTTGTTGCTAATATTATATTTAGGAAAATACTTAGTTCCTACCTTGTCCTTACCACCATTAAATATTTGACAACTCAGTTACTTTTTTAAAATATTTTTTGTTTTTACATTTCTCTCTCAATTGTCATGGTGATAAGGACAAAATTGGAGCCAAATATTTTCCTTATATTTATATCAGGTTTCGAGGCCCCTTGATTCATATAATTAATTATCCAATAAAAAGTTGAATACATCTAGAAATCCAATATCTAACCCATTATGCAACTTTAAATACTTCAAATTATAGGTATATGACTCTGTCTAAGGTTTTTATTATAAAAAAATAAAAATATATATATATTAATATGGTTTTTCCATGTATTTTTTTTAACACAGTTTAAAAGCCAAATAAGATTTAAACCGTTAATTAAATAATAAAATGATATTTAAGATTTATAATTTCATGAGTTAGATTTCCTGAAAATTA